ACATCTCAGGACAATATTTCTAAATAGCCACAGATAGCTGAAAATTACCCCAAGGTAGGTAATGTCTGACAGGAATACTTTAGATTCTCCCTCAGTGGACCATGTTTGCTTCTAGGAGAAGAAAGTTGTCATGAAGGGATGAGTTTGTTATAATCCAGATTTTTCAAGGCCTAGGGTTATCCTTTGCATACTTATGAACTTCTGATATTTAATATGAGCTGAATTGTTTCCCATATCATGAAACAATGTTTGAAAATGCTGCATCCAACAGATTCTGCTCTAGGACGAAAACATTTCATCCCAATTAATTTCCTGCTTCTCTTCTCTTTTACCACATTATTTCTGGCTATTCCTTCTAGTTCCAGCACCTTTAACATATCATATCTAGAACTAAGCAAATGAGAAGACAGGAAGTTAACAGCAAACATATTCCTGCTGGGAAAAAAAATGAAGAGGAAAGGGGTGGGGGAAGTATCTCACCAATATCTAACTTAAAGAAGTTTAAGTTCTTGTCAATATCTGTTGCAGTCCTCCTGAACTGAATTTTGTTCCAGCTCCCCATCAACTGCTCTAAAAGCAATGATACTGTTTTCTATGTATCAGTAGTATCATGGATTTCAGTTCCTTAGGTGTCACTTACTAGAATGATTTACCACCCAAAGTTGCTACAAGATTTCAAAGTTTTTTTCTGATTGTTATCAGATTTCATAGTTTCATATTTTAGCATACTTTTCTTTAATGAAAAATATGTGAAAATCAGGCTTGAGCTCAGGGTTCAAATGAAGGGGTCCTTGATGCTCTCTGAGCTTGGTTGTTTTCTTGCAGACATTTCATTACCCAAATTAGGTTATGTAAGTGCTAGTCTGGTGTAGCACTGATGATGTCACCTAGTTGGGGTAATGAAATGTGTGCAAGAAAACAACCAAGCCCAGGAAGCACCAAGGACCAGTCATACTTTTCCTTCCTGTTTTCTACTCTGGAAATGTGCTTCATACTGCCCTAGTCTCCCATTCTCTACAAGCAAAATAGACTTGAGACATCAAAAACTGTTCTAAATTGAAGCTTAGCAGATTTCCGATGCTATTAATATTATTTTATTTTTGCCTTTATAGCTCACTTAATAGCATAGGAATCACCTTTTGAGAAATCCAGTTTGCTTGGGCTCCAAGTGGCATCTCAGTGATATCTGAAATGGTTCCCAACTGATTCTTTTATATTGGGTGTGGTTGGGTGTGGTTCCCAACTGATTGTTTTACTGTTGAAATTCAACAGTATTGGAAATTGAAATAAACCCTAATTACAGTAATTAAGATGCAGAATGTCCAACTAAAAATGAAATTATGCCTATATATCAATAAATGCTAATAAACATTCATTGCATGTGAAGCAAATGCATATTATTTAAACACTAAATAATAGAAATGCCTTGCTTCTACCCAAACTGCATAAAGAAAGAAAAGGGAGAAGGAAATTCACGTAGTCTGCAAAATATATACATTTAACTTACAATAGGCCTGGTGGGAAATCGATACTAATTAAAATAAGTTCATAAATACACAGATGTAGTTGTCAACTCTGAAACTGGCCTGACTGAGGCCATCTTGGAGGCTTCAGAGTTGCCACAATGGTGCTGAGGAGAGAGAGTGGGGAATCCAAGATTGGGATTTTGGAATAGCAGTTCCATTAAGGCACTGACAACAGTGGATCAGACTCATGAAATGTTTTACCCAGCTCTTGCTCTTTTCTTTTGCCCTTGAAAAAGAATTCATCAGAGCAGGTAATAATGGACTACAGAGTATACCCTCAGCATTATCAGAAAAAGGCAATTATGTTACTGGCTTATAGTCTGGGAAGTAGCTGGTCTTTTTTCATTTTTTGGAGACTACTCTCAGGCTTCCAAATAATACACCCACAGCAAACAGAATGCCGAGGCAAGCAGGTTCCTTAAACAACAAGTTTATTGGACATATCATATTGGCACAGACTGGTGAAAACTGATTCTAAAGGTTCCCATGGTTTTCACCTAATTAAAATGAAAGTTTTTCCCCCTTTCCCAAACAATCAGTAACCTGCCCCAATCAAGGTGCTGTCCAGTTGCTTGAAAACTTCACTTCTCCTCTTTTCAGCCACTTGTGGGAATGTCCTTGGTTCTCAAGGGAAACTATTTTGTTTTGGCTACAAACCCCATCTATCTCTATTCTCCCACCCATCTATCCTCAGCGCCATTGTGGCAACACAGAAATCAAGATGGCCTCAGTCAGGCCAGCTTCACAGTTGACAACTACTTCATACCTATGTATTTATGAACTTATTTTAATTAGTATTGATTTCCCACCGGATCTATTGTAAGTTAAATGAGACTTTATATTTTGCAGATGAAGGGAATTTCCTTCTCCCCTTTCTTTTTTTTATGCAGTTTGGGTAGAAGCAAGGTGTTTCTATTATTTAGTGTTTTTTTCATGAGTCTGATCCACTGCTATCAGTGCTTTAATGGAACTGCTATTCCAAAATCCCAATCTTGGGTCATGTCCCTGTTTAAAGATCCTGTGGCAATAGGATCCTACAATACAAAAAAACTAAATGGCAAAGATGAAGGTGTGCCATATAGCGGAGAAGAATATTTTGGGTACAAGTAGTCCTTGCTTAATAACCAGTCATTTTATAGCCATTCAAAGTTACAATGGCTATGGGACAGGTGCTTTACACCCTGAAAAACATACGTGCTGCCTCCCATGGTCATGTGACCACATATTGGATGGGCCAGCTTTGTGGTTTCTGGCAAAAAACAATCACCCATTGAAATGAATGAGTTCATTTAACAACTGTTGCATTAGGATTGATAACCATGGGTTCACATAACATTGTGAAAAAAGCTGAAAAATGGCACATGGGTATTTGTCTTCCAGGTTCACTTACAGACATAAATTGAGGACTACCTGTATAAAACTGCTCTCATTGTGCCCAATAACTGCAGTTCCATATAAAGTGTATCAGCTGTGCTTGGGTGTTGAGACCAGGAGATTTGTAACAAAAGTCTTTTCCAGTAAAATACTGAAAGAGCATATATGACACACATAAATCTTTCCTTGATTTAAAAAATCATAAAAACTTTTTGGCAACCATGATGACTGCTGATTGGACCTGATAATCCAGCATAATTTATATTGCATCTTCTTGAACTGAACTCTAGATTTGAAGTCTTGATGATATTATTGTCAGCCTCAAGCAGTCACTGCTAATTATCAATCCAGGCTAATTGATTATGCCTCTTTAATTATTAAATGAATCATGGATGGGATTTCATTTGGTAGAGCTACAAACTTGGAATCAAATTTTTCCCACTGCAATTTCCATAGATTTAATCCATCTCAATTGGGTATTCATATCCTACCATACAATATGCAAAATTCAACTCAGAGATAATCCCTGTGGCTAGAGATATTTCAATTGCTTCTGCCAAAAATAAAGGTTTTTAATTTCTAGCAATATGTCTCTCATTTTTCAACAAAGTATCTATCTGACAATTTAATCCTTTATTAATAAGTCAGCAACTTCTCCAAAGTTAAGTGTCTCACTTTACCCTTGCAAATCAGCAACAAAACTCTGGAAGGGTTATGATTTGTTTTGTTTTCTAATTTGATGCCTTTTATATGCCCTTCAACCTTCATATTATAATGAAGTCCCCTCTCCTTCAAAAAAAAAAAAAAAGTTCTTATGGCTTTGTAAGGTTTCTGTTACTTCCCTCCACTACAGTTTCTCTATCTTCCATAAAGAAGATTCCATGAACTATTTCCAAAACTTCCAGTTGTCTGTAGCATGATT